GGGGGGTGGTGGGGGGGGGGGGATAGGGGGGGGGGCGGGGCCTGGAGGGAGGCGGGCCCTCTGCTGGCCGATCGCCGCCGGGCGCCTGAGTCTCCGTCGCTTTTGTCCCTCCCTTTCTGCCTCTTCGCCTCCCTCTGTGACCATGGTCCCAAGAGCGCCGACCCGCCTGGAGCGAGCGTCGCCGTCGGGGACCCCAGGACCGATCCAGCGGTGGCGACGAAGCCTGCAGCTTCTCTGGCTTCCGCCCGGCCACACTGACTGTGACCAACTTCTTCAAGCAGGTGCGCGGCCCCGGAGGGGTGGTGCTCGGTCCGTCCCGCCCCTCGTGGCTGCATGGATCCCAGGGACTTTAACCCCTTGGTCGGCCCTGGCTCACGGGGACCTGTCCTCTCAGGAGGCTGAACGACTCAGCGACGAGGACCTCTTCAAATTCCTGGCGGACATGCGACGCCCGTCTTCCCTGCTGCGGCGCCTGCGACCTGTGACTGGTGTGTGGTGCCACCCCGTAAACCAGTGTTCTCATGCAGGCCCTCGGCAAACCCGCGCCGAGTGCACTGGGGACCCAACTATGACAGATAAACCCCAGCCGCAGGCTGGAACTCCCAGTGGGGTCCACAGAGGACATACAGAATAAGACACGTGACAGGTTCCAAAGGGGGAACCCGGTGGCAGGGGAACAGGAGGCCTGAGGGGAGGTCTGCTCAGATGTGGGGTGACAGACAGGAGTTGAATAACGTGGCTTTTTTCCTCCTTTTTGCAATACTGGGCATTGAACCCAGGGCCTTTGCACTGAGCTGCCCATCTTTATGTCAAGCCCTACCCAGCTCTTTTAAGACAGGGTCTCCCTGTGTAGCCCAGGCTGGCCTGGAACTCGTGGCAATCCTCCTGCCTCAGCCTCTGAGTGCTGGCATGACAGGTGTGCACCACCACGCTCAGCTCATTTTTTATTTTGAGACAAGGTCTCACTAAGTTGCCCAAGGTGGGCTTGAACTTTCCTGCCCCAGACTCCCCCACTTCCAGGGTGACAGGCATGTGCCACCATCCCCCACCCGACCTATGGCTTTTGACCCAGAAGGGTGGAACCATCAGAGGTCCTCAGGGGAGAGACAGAGCCGGGCTCTGGGCCCAGTGGATGCCCCTGGCCAGGTGCCAGCCAGCTCTCTCCTTCCCAGCTCAGCTCAAGATCGATATTTCCCCGGCCCCCGAGAACGCCCACTTCTGCCTGAGCCCTGAGCTGCTTCATGTCAAGCCCTACCCAGACCCCAGGGCCCGGCCCACCAAGGAGATCCTGGAATTCCCTGCTCGCGAGGTCTACGCCCCGCATACCTGCTACAGGTACAGCCCTGGGTGAGGTCCGCCTGGGCTCAGAAATGGGACAGGCACCGGTGAAATGCACTGAGGCGCTTTAATGAGGCTGAAGGAGCGCTCACCCTTCCTCCTCCCTGCTCACGGGGCCTCGCCCTCTGCCTGTTTCCCGCCGGCTGCCGCCTCTGCCCTGTTCCCTGAACTGGGGCACCCTGGCCGACCCCAGCGGACAGGCAGCTCCGCCTGCGCAGGGCCGCGAGGCGCGTGGACGTGTCCCTCTCTGCACGACTGGTCCTCTGGTCCACGCAGACGGGCTCAGGCCGGGAGCGCCGCTGTGTGAAGCCTGGGGGGAGACGCAACCCCGTCAGCCCGTGCAAGCGGGTCCCTTGCAGCTGCCCCCTGCACCCCAACCCCGCCAGGCTCACCGCTCCTGGATCTGTCGCAGCCCTTGCTGCTGTGTTGCCATCTCCCGCCTCTGTCGCTGCACATGGCCCGTGAGGACCCACAGGAGGTGGCTCTGCTTGTCGGCGTGAAGCTGCAGGACAGGAAGAGAAGTTTAGTGGGGACCCTGTCACCTCCTGTGCTTTGGCCCTGCCCAGGCCCCCTACTGTTCCTTGCTGCATCTATGAGATATTGCAAGTCACTAGTGCTTTCTGGCCTCGGTTTCCATACCTGTAAAATGGGTCTCAGATAGGACTTGCATTGTGGGGTTAAGAACATCGTATGTTTTACTAAAGGGCACACGACAAGACTGGGTAATTACTGGGTGGTCAGGGCAGGGCTCTGACTTATTTTTTAACATTTGTTATTGTTGTTTTAAGATCGGATCTCACTATGTAGTGCGGGCCGGCCTTGAACTCACTATGTAGCCCAGGCTGGCACAGCCTGCCTCAGCCTCCCAAGTACAGGGGTGACAGGCATGTGCCACTATGCCAGGCTATAAGCAGTTATTGAAGCCAGGCATAATAGCATGCACCTGTCATCCTACCATTCTGGGAGGCTGAGTCAGGAGGATAAGTTCAAGCCCATCCTGGTTCAATCCTAGGTTCAAATCTAGGCCCTAGGTTCGATCTCCAGTTTTACCCCCAAAATTACTCAGAAGTATTTATTGGCTGTCTACTGTGTGCTCCCTTCTACATGGAGTCCCTGGCTTTGCTGTGAAATATCAGCTGTTGCCCTTATTTATAGATGGGGAAACTAAGGCTCAGACCAGGACGAGATTTTGCCCAGTGTCACGCAGAAGAGAGGTTGAGAGTGGTACCCAGGGCTCGGGGTTCAGAAGTGAGCTGTGTCTGACCAGAATCAGGGACCTCAACCCTCCCGGGGCCAGGTGTCCCTTACCTTTAAGTTCTCGAGTTCATGGCAGGCACGGCCGAGACAGGCAACCCTCAGACGGCTGTCTAGGTGTCTCACACTGTCCCACAACACCTGCTGGGCCTGGGCCGCCGCCTCCAGCTCCCGGGCCGTGGCCTCTACCTGCAGCTGCAAAGTATCTTCGTCCGTCTGTTTGGTAGATAGGAGGCCATTAGGAGGGCAACAAGCTCATCATTGCCTGGTTTTATCACTGAAAGCCTTGCACCCTGGGAACTTCTTTTCTGGGCAACCCACGGCATCCGACACCCTGGCCATTAATTGCTCTTTAGACTCCTGTCCACCCCGCAGCATCCCAGCCGCAGTGCCCACCTGCATCCCCAACAAGTCAGTGTGGAGTTCCCGAGTTGCATCCTGGCCTTGGCTGACTTGTAGTCCCAGGAGCTCCAGGGTGTGGCCATAGAGGTCCAGGCTCTGCCTGGCCTCTGTCAGCCGTGCCTCGGTGGCCCTGTATACGCTGTTGAGGGCCTGGCCCAGCTGCAGGGCCCCGTGGAAGAGCAAGGTCAGCTCTTCATGCTGTGCTGGCTCTGGGCCACCCATGGGGGCCACCGGGGCAGGCCGGGCCACTGTGGCCAGGACCCACAGGAGGCACAGAGAGAGTGTGGACATGGCTGCGGGTCTGGAGCTGTGGCCCACAGTGCCACTGCTGCCGCCTTTTATGTCCCTGCACTGTCATTTACCCCAGCCAATCGTTAACTGGCCACGTAGCTGCCCTGTGTTTTGCAAGGCCTGGCTGCGCGTGTTGTGGTTGCATCAGGCTGATGTCTGGCCCGGACCCGGGCCATGCTAGGATCACGCTGGCTGGGGCACAGGGCCAGCGGTGGGTGGGGGCCATAGGGAGGGGACAGGCGCAGGCCACTGCAGGGACATCCTGGGGGTCACCGTGCTGAGTTTCAGTTCCCCCACCTGTACACAGGCAGAAAAAGTGACAGTAATAATAGTGGAAGCTGGGTAGAGTGGTGCACGTCCAAATCCAAGCGCTTGGGAGGCTGAGACAGGAGGATCTTAAGTTTGAGACTAGTGTGGGCTACATAGCGAGACCCTGTGACAAATAATGACTATGATGTTGATGATGTTTTATGAGCACCAGAGGTTCATGGAGAGCTGTTCCAGATATGTATCTTCTGTGAAGGGGAACAAGTAATGGCCCCAGAAAACTGCATGTGGGGCTTTCTTTCTTTTTTTTTGTTTTCTTTTTTTTGGTCTGGGCATCAAACTTGGGCACTTAAACTTGCGCGGCAGGCAGCGAAACCACTGAGCCAAATTCCTGGTCCCAAAGAACTTGTGGGGCTTTTTTTTTTTTTCTTTTGGCCCACAAAACTGCATGTGACGCAGAGGTCTTTGTTGGCTGCACGGTGGCCAGGAGATAAGGGACAGGCGACCGAGTCCTCCGGGAGGCCGCACAGCCTAATCCAGGAGGCAGAGAAATGTCAGTTTGTGCTAACTGCTGCTTAACTCCCTGGATGGCCAGGGTTCGGTTTCCCTTCCTATTTGGGCTGGGGCTGCTGCAAGCCCCCACCCAGCTCACCCTCGAGGGGTCTGTAAATGATTTCACACTGAGTGCTGGGAGCCTCAGGCACGGTGAGTTCCCTTCTGGTGTTGGCTGTGGCGACTGTCACCGTGGTTGCTTACCACCCTTCTACTGTTTAGCCGGAAGGCCCGACGCCCCCATTATACAGATAGGGAAACTGAGGCCCAGAGGGTGGTCGGGGCTTGTACAGGGGAAGGAGGCAGGACTCTGAACCTGCCCGCCGGCTGTGGCCTCAGTTTCCTCCCCAGGGAGGGCATTTGGGCCCAAGGTGCAGGTCAGTGTGGCAGGAAACAGGCGAGACCGCTGGGCGCCTGGGCACCGTCCTGGAGCTCTGGCTCCGCGTGCCCATCTGAATCCCCATCTGTGTCCTCACACCCTCTGCCTGGTTCCTAGAAGGGAGTCACCCTGCCCTCAGCACCCGGCCTGTGACTCTGTGTCCCCAGCCTGGCTTGTCCCAGCTGCCTGGCCTCCAGTGGCCCGTCGAGGCCCTGCCCCTCACCCCGCCGCCCCTGCCCCGCAGGAACCTGCTCTTCGTGTACCCGCACAGCCTCAACTTCAGCAGCCGCCAGGGCTCCATGCGCAACCTCGCCGTGCGGGTCCAGTACATGGCGGGCGAGGACCCCAGCCAGGCCCTGCCGGTCAGTGGCTGAACCCTGCGGGGCGGAGCCGGGAGGTCCCGTGGGGTCCTAACGCCCCACGCCCCCAGGTGATCTTCGGCAAGTCCAGCTGCAGCGAATTCACTCGCGAGGCCTTGACACCTGTCGTCTACCATAACAAGTAGGTGGCGGGGGGGCGGGGACACCACGCCCAGGACACCTTCCTGGGACCCAGGGGTGCAGGAAGAAGGGGCGGTGGAAGCTGTGGGAGCGCTAACGGGGAAGCTGAGGCACAGGGAGAGGGGACGGGGCAGCCATCACAAATCCCAGGTTCCCAGCCCCGTCCCTCCGCGGGTCCCGCCAGGTCCCCCGAGTTCTACGAGGAGTTCAAGCTGCGGCTCCCGGTGCCCCCGCCCAGACACTCCGTGCTCACGCCCGACGTACGTGCGCGGCTCCAGTGCAGACCGCTTCCTGCCTCCCTGTGCGCGGCGCCCCTGCGCGGAGGGCTCTGTCTTACTGTCCCGCGCCCCTGCGCTCCCTGTCTCTCGCTGAGATCCCCTTCACTCCTCTTGGCTCCATTCCCCCCATTAACAGCCCTCGTTCTCCGTGATTGACCCCCAACTCCGTGCTCACGCCCGACGTACGTGCGCGGCTCCAGTGCAGACCGCTTCCTGCCTCCCTGTGCGCGGCGCCCCTGCGCGGAGGGCTCTGTCTTACTGTCCCGCGCCCCTGCGCTCCCTGTCTCTCGCTGAGATCCCCTTCACTCCTCTTGGCTCCATTCCCCCCATTAACAGCCCTCGTTCTCCGTGATTGACCCCCAAGAGTCCCCCAGGAACCAGGGGCGGTGGCAACGCACCTGTATTCCAACACCTTGGGAGGCTGAGGCCGGAGAATCGAGAGTTCAAGTCCCCCTTGGGCAGCTTAGCATGACCTTGTCGCAAAATAATTTTTTTTTCTTTTTTTTTTTTGTGTGTGTGGGGATCAAACTCGGATCCTTGTGCTTGCGAGGCAGGGAGCGGAAAAACTGAGCTACATCCCCGGCCCTTTCTCTTGATATTTTGAGACAGGGTCTCACTGTGTAGTCCAGGCTGCCCTCGAGTTCACTGTGTAGCCCGGACTGGCCTCAGAATTGAGGTGAACCTCCTGCCTCAGCCTCCCAAGAACTGGTCAAAAAGAATTTTGGAAAGGGCTGTGGATGTAGCTCAGTGCAAAGGCCCTGGCACCCAAATGTGTTTCCAGGACCTGCGCTGGCTTCGTGTCCCTTCCCCGGACTCTTCCATCGCAGCCATCCTCAGTGCCCCGGGGTCTCGAGACCCCCATTGGGATAGCCCTGACTCCTCCAGTATCTGTGCCCGCGTGAGCGTGTGCTGTCCAGCCTGCCCTGAAGTCCCCCTTCGTGCACTGGGCCTGAGCTGGCGGCGGCAGCCCGGCTCCTCCCTGAGCCGGGCCATTCTCGGGCCTCGGTGTCGCAATGGCGGGGTCCGCCCGGTGGCCTGACCACGGGG